TCTCTCCACCCGTTACACAGCAATCTACCCTAGCTCACAAGCTCGCAGTGGTTCGTCTTGCCAAGCTGGCAATCCTGACAGGTCAGAAAATCGCTGTCGACAACGGTTGCAGGTATATGAGAATGACAGCCAGACATACGCAAGACACCCAGAGGCTAGTCAGAGAGCTCGACGTCGAGCGCCCACTGATCTAAGGTGGAACTGTCTCTTTTTAGTGGTTTGAGTTGTGTGCGCGTTATACGGCGTCTGCCCTAACGCCCAAAGGCAAGAGAGAGATTCGCGCAAGGCATCTTTATTCGCACGGCTCTCGATCTCCAAGATCGGCTCTCCGAGTGGAGGCAGATATGAAGCCGCCCACGTCTGTCAGCGTCGCTCCTCCTGCCACGGCTGATCCCCCAGATGTCCTCAGACAATCAGCTTCTGAAGTGGACGTCTTGACGACAAGGCCAGTGGAGTCACCGGAGCATCAACCAAAGGCTCAAGGAGATGGCGAGGGCGGCGCTCGGTTCTCAGAGATTCCCACCACCATCTCGACATCGGTCTCCACCCCTGCAGTGGACGGCCGGGCTCCGCTTGGCGATGCTTCGCTTGAGGAGGGCGATCTGTGGGGCTTTCTGGTGCTGCGGATTGGCTGTGTGACCTTGTGGCTGACGGACTACCCTCTGAGGCATTTCCTTCTCATCATCGGCCTCGTCGTGATCTATGCACTCTGGTGGTCGGGTGGCTGGTTCTACTTCTTCCGCTTTGCCATGGAGCACGAGGAGGATATTCGGCTGCTCGTTGTTTCCGAGTCGGCGTTTGTGATATGGACACCGCCCTTTCTGATGCTCTTGATTGGATTGGGAAGTCTGTGCGCACCGCCTCTTTGGTGGGGCATCCGATGCGTCATCTACTGCTCGATTGTCCTCATCATTGTCATCTATTTCTTGTTTCGTCAGCAGCTCAACCCTCTCCACAAGGAGTTATTCTATTGGGACGGCGGTCGTCCTAACGAATCAGGTGACCCCTTAGCCACACTGGCGTGGGTGGCTGGTGCGGTGCTTCTGCAGTTCGCTCTCTTTGTTGTCTTGTCGGAGCCGCGAGTTGCCCGTGCGTCGACCAGCCCGACGGGTGGAAGGGAAATCGACGTCGATCACAATCGGCTCTCGTGCCGCTGCCGTCGGGCAGGGTGGCGACCCTCGGCGACGGCCGAGCGCATAGCCAAGGCTCGGCAGACAGAGCCCTTCCTCTACCGCTCGGTGGTCAAGCGGTGGCTCAAAGGGATGGACTATCTCACTTTCATTCGGTTGTATAAACTGCTGGCCGTCGTGGGAATGGCCGTGGACCTCATTACCGATGCGGCGGTGGGGGTGGAAATAAGCAGCTGGTTCCAATATGATCCATGGCCTCGTGCATTTGCTATTTGTGGGTACCCCAAATATCCGTTGAGTGATGATGATGAGGAGTGCGTGGCGACCACGAGAAGTCGTCTAGAAAGTGAAGCGCAAGACCTACGAGAAGAGCAAGGATATCTAGTTGTCGGCAGCGTCATTCTGGGCTTATCGCTGGCTGACTTCGTGTCGCTGTTCATTCACTACGGCATCCGCGGCTCTCCCTCCCTCTGCCAGCACATCTGGATTGTGGCCTTTGCCCTGCTGGAAGTGCCTATCTTGGTGCTGACGATCGTGTGGGCGACGGAGGCCAGCAACCCGATGCTCTTTATCGTTTCGGCCTTCTTCACTCTGGTGACGGTTTCATGGCGAGTCGGGTCGTTTGCATGGACCATCTATGTGCGGTGGAAAAACGGGACGTCCGCGACCAATACAAACCACAAGGTGATGAGAAGAAGGGCGAGTGGGAGACGAGAGTGAAGCCAACAACAGACGTCATCTTGTGTGCATGTTTGATGTCGGGAGGGCCATTGGTCGTATGACTGACGGCACGCTGTTGGGCACTTGTGTGTGCAGTGCACCTGGGGAGTTGTGGATTGACAAGTGAAGTGGCTGGCGGCTCATTTCCCCCCCGGTCAATCGGACAGGGCGGGAGGGAGGGACCCAAACGATCGGTGGATTCCACCGCCAGCCGCAGGACTGGACCGACTTGTGCCCGGGTCCATGCATGGCAGTCACATGTTCGTTTGCGTTTTGCAGCAAAGGTGTGTAGTTTCATGCCTTTCGGTTGCTTAGTCTTTCTTGCCTTGAGGCTCTCTCTCTTCTTTTGCTCGTCGACATGTGATGTGTGTCGTTACGTTCGTGTGATCTACTTCTTTGATTTGATGTGCTGTGGAGGCCGATGGCCCGCTGAATGGACGGATGGATGGCATGACGCACGGATCTTGTCGTGGTGTGTGTCTTGTTGAAAGCGATCGGATGACTGGATTGATGGATGGATGCCCCCCTGAGGGTGTTGTCTGCTTGCGTGTCTCAGTCGTGTACGCAGTTAACCCATCGCTCTGGTGTCTATTGCTCGGCTAGCTGCCCGTCTGTGTGGCCTGTGTGTTGCGTGCGTGTGCCTCACACACACAACCCCAAACGAACAAACAAAGTTAGGGACTCACTCCTGTCTGTCCTTGGCGTGGTGTACACACAGTCGATCGGACCGACCCACCTACCCATTACACCCACTGGCACCTATCAACCACACTCTCTCCGTAGCTTGCTTCGCTGCGCTCGTCTCTGCACTCAATGGGGGTGGCCTGTCTGTTTGTCTGAGTGAGTCTCCAAGTTGCCATCAGTGCTCTGTCTTCGTTTCGTCTTGGCTCTCGGAGTGTGAGTGTGTGTCTGGCTGCCGAGAAGCGGTTGTTTGTTTAAGACGCCAGTCTGTCTGCCATCAGTCAACACACGCACAACGAATAGATCCGCAGAAGATACATTACATGCAGCTGCTCAATCGTGCCGCCAAAGAAAGAAGACACCACATCCTCATGCCCACACGCTATGAGGATGTATGGATCCGGACGCAGGCAGGGAAGGAAGGAATGAAGGAAGCAGAGAGAGAGAGATGAGGTCTGTGTGGTGTCAATCGGCCGGTCGGTAAGCAGGCACGCACCGCACCGGTGGGTGGTCACTGTATGAGTGACACGCACCACACCACACACCATGCCGTGCCATGCCGTGCACACGAATGGACGTGCGCCACCCACCCCACCCGGCCCATTTACTTAAAGTCACATACAATGAACAACGATCGAAGAATGGCACACTCACCCACAATGACACCCATGACACCACACGCCGCCCATCACATCACATCCCATCACACAGAGAGACACACACAACGGTAAGTGTTAAAAAGTGTTCGTTCATCCACCACAAATTGGAGCAGAAAGTGGTCAAGTGTGAAGCCGGTCGGTTAGAAAACAATACCACCAACCCCTTAGCCCGTCAGACAGAGTATACACACGTGCAGCAGCAGAGATCCCGCCGACTAGAAAAGAGATCAAAAGCAAAGGAGTAAATACGAACAACACAACACATCTCTCTCTTTGCTCGTCTGCTACACCCTACACAGCCCTACAGAGCCAGCCCTACTAACTACTGTGTCCCTCCCCCTCCGTCACTCCCTCTACATAGCACGTGTGGTCCCATATGTACCCTATATAGGCACTTCTACGCATGGCCCCTCCCCCGCAGTGAGTGCACCCCCTGGCAACAGAGCCCATCGATCTTACACACGAAATGGGGGCAAAGAAAAATCACCGTAGATGTATACAATGAAGACAGACAGACAGACAGACGTGTGTGTGTTGTGGAAGGGGTCAGTCGAAGGCCATCTCGAGCAGGCCGTCGTCGCCATTGATGGGCGAGAACCACAAGACGATCGCCACCAGAAGATAGGCCGCCATCAACATCATGCCCTCTAACCTGCCGGCAGTGCAGTGCAGTGCACCCATAACACAGACAGAGACAGCGGCTGTCGTTGTGGGAGTGCAGTGCAGCTGACCAGTTGGACCTTCCGTCTGCCACGACGGCCATGACGATCAGGACGGCAATGAACAGGATGGTCGTCTCGAGAGGCTTGAAATCCATGGACATCGGCTGACCCAACGCCCAACCTACACAAAGGGACACACACACACAGACACACAGACATATGCTCCTGAGGTAAGTTGATGAAGGCAACCCAGGCCCAGCCACCGACCCATGAGGACGGCGAATGGCACGACGAAGAGTGCGATCTGCGTGGACGAGCCGGCAGCCACTCCTGCACACACACACATATACGACACAGAGTGGAGGACCACTGCCAGTGCGTCTCGTGTATGTGTGTGTATCTGGGGTACCTACCGATGGTCAGGTCGAGCTTGTTCCTGACGGCCACGCTGACGGCCGTCCAGTGCTCCGCGGCGTTGCCGGCAATAGGCAGCAGCACCACACCGATGAACATCTAAAGAGATAAGAGCCCGTTGTTGACATGAGGACACAATGAGGCGGATTATTGTCGCGAGCAGACCTGTGGAACGTCCCATGCCTTGGTGACGGCTTCGATGGAGCCCACGAGGTACTCACTGCTGATGGACACGAAGATCGTCACCAGCAGCAGCATCACTATGCTCTGACAGATCGACAGAACGAACAAGACACACACACACACATGCACCTGCGCCTTGGCGCCCACGTGACGTACCGTCCAGAGCGAGACGTGCGGCATCTCGTCGATCGGTAGTCCCTCATCCACCACGGGCTCAGTCATCGTGTGATCTGACGCAATGCAGCCAGCCAATCACCCAGAGGCATTGCAATGCATGGATTGATCAAGCCATAGTCAGTCGCCTGGCTGAAGTGAGGCAGACGGGCGCACAGGCATTCAAACCGGTGGACAGAGTGGCCGTCTTATCCTCCTCCTCCTCCTCGTTCTGGAAGAGGTGGATGTGCGTCACCAGCTGCACCAAACGCACCCATGCAATGCACCACCACACACACAGGTGCGTCTCCGGTAGCAGTGTGTATCGTCCAGCCCGCGCATTTGTCACCTGGAAGAGGAGGAACATGATGTAGACGGTGAAGAGGACGCAGGCTGATATCCTCGACACCTCCAGCACCGCCTCAGAGTGCACACCCTCCTGCAAATGAAACACCATCGGCACCGCAAGACCTAATCACACACACCCCAACACACACACACACACACACAGGAACAGACGGAGATACACGTGGCCGTTGTGTGTTGATGGGTCGATAGCCCATCCATCCCCTCTCTCTCTCACCGAGGCTGGACAGCAGCAGCAGCGTGGTGTTGGATGATGCGCCCTGGACGTTGAATTCGCTCTCCTTGTAGAACACGCCGGCCGCAAAGAACGACATGCCCAGCACCAGCAGCAGGTTAGACAAGATCGACCCCAATAGCGTGCCCTGAAACAAACAAACAAACAGGGAGGGAGGGAGGGAGGGACGGAGGGAGGGATCGAGAGGGATTCACGCACACATCGTCAAGGTCAGTCGGTCTTCAGCTGACCTTGACGACGGTGAGCAGCCCTTTCCTGAGGGACTGTATCGTCAGAATCAGCTCCACCGCATTCCCAAATGTCGCGTTCAACCTGGGTAAAGCATTTGGACAGCCACATGTGCTTGTCCTTTCTGCGAGCATCCCAGCAGCCCTCTCGCCCTCAGCTTAGGCAGCTTAGCTTAGCTTACAGGCCTCCGATGATCTCCCCGGTGTGTTCGGCGAGCTCCTCGGTGACGAAGCCCAGCAGGGCCGCCAGCGGCACCAAGGCTATGAAGTTGAGCAAAAAGACCCACTTGGCACCCCACCCCAGCCAATACGCCAGGTAGCCGAGCGGCACAACCACCAGCAGCACGTGAATCTGACAGACACCACGAGGGAGGGAGGGGGGAGAGTGATGAGAGGAAAGCGCCCCTTCCTCTCGGCCTGCCTGTGCCGTCCGGCCCACCGACTGACTGACCTCTTTGAACATGATGCCTTTGAGCCCCCTGACCTCATTGGACCAAAACGCCCCATAGCCAGAGTCATCTCTCCTCGTCGCCGGCCCGGGCGGCTCCTCAGCCGCCCGGCCCCTCACCACACGGATGGCCTCCGACAGCTCAGAGGTCGTAATGCGCCCAATGCCCATGGCAGGGGTGGAGGATGACTCACGGTTGGCCGCAGCGGCTGCCGCCGGCTCGACGGTGCCAGACTCTGAGACGACCACCTTGACGCGCCGCCCGTTGTCTTGGAGGCCGTCCTGCCTGACGACAGACGGGGATACCTCTCCAGGTCTGAAGGAAAGAGAGAGGAAAACAGGGAGAGATGGAGAAACAGAGTGAGTGGCGAGGGAGGCTCGGGGTGACTGACTGTCCCCAAGGCCACCTGAGGACAGATCTGAGGAGTGGGCTTTCCCTGCCGTCATTGTCCCAGTCTGAGTGCGTGTGGGGCCGCCTCTGCGTCGTGCTCGGAGAGCTGCACACACACGGGCAGACAGACAGCAACACACTGACAGACTCACTCCCACCGCTTTTGTCTATGAGGCAAGTGTTTCACCTCCGAGCCGATCTGGGAACCGATGGACTCATGTATGTCCTCAGCCAAGACTTGGCCTGTCGCCTGTTCATCGCCATGCTGGCGACGACGACTGACGATCGGGCTCCTTCAGAAATGACGACACAAAACTGTCAAGAACGGCGGAGATCTCACTGTGCAGACAAGCAGCAGCCATGCAATACCCAAACAGAGCGCGAAATCCTTTCCCGAAATACCCAAGCTCGCGCTCGAAGCTAAGCGTTCCAAGTTCTCCTTGATGTGCAAGGGATGAATGCGTTCCGGGTGCGTCATCTGGAGAACGCCTTGTTGAATTTTGAGCAAGTGACGTCGCTCAAGCAGCCGCTGGACCTGCACCTGAAGCGGTACTTCCAGGCGCACAGGCAGCTGGGATCTGCCGACAGGGCCTGGATATGCACTCAGGCAAGCCTCAAGGAACGTGAAGCAAGGCGAGCAGATGAGATGAGTGAATGGGTCTGTGTGTGGTTCAACTTGCCATGTGTGCAGATCTACGAGTTGGTGCGGTGGCGGGGTCTGCTGGACTATGTGACGCCTCCGCCCAGCACCTGGTCCAGCAGGCTGCGGACCTTCTTCATCTCAGACCGATGGCGCGCACACACCATGAACCCCAGACTCCCGCCGCACATCCGGTGCTCCTTTCCAGAGGCCCTCTTCAGAAGAATAGAAAACGCCCTCGGGACGAAAAAAGCCATACAGGCAAGCAGAGAGAGACAGAGAGAGAGGGCAACGGGGCGGACAGGTACATGTGTGTGTGTGTGTGTGTGTGTGTGTGTCAGGTGTGCAATGTGTTGAACGAGGCGCCGCCGACGTTCCTTCGCGTCAACACGAATCAGATCACGCGGGATCGTGTGTACAAGTTCCTGCAGTCCAAAGGGGTGGACGTCGAGAAGTGCGTCAACTCCCCATACGGACTCATGCTCAACCACAAACAGGTCAGGTCAGGCTGCCTTGTGAGTGACAGGCCAGGCAGCGCGTGTCTGTCCTTGTGGACGTCTACACTTCGGCTGTCTGTTCTTCTGTGTTTTCAGCGTCTGTTGGATCTTCCCGAGTACAAGCAGGGTCTGATAGAGATCCAGGACGAGGCCTCGCAGATCGTCTCGTTCAAAGTCCAGGCCATGCCCGGTGGGGGAATGCCCCACGATAGATACGCAGATGGATCGATGGATAAGTGTCTGCTTCTGCGTGTACGTGAAGGCGACAAGGTGCTGGATTACTGTGCCGGCTCTGGCGGCAAGACTCTCGCATTCGGCCCCCAGATGGAGAACAGCGGCAAGATCTACCTCCACGACGCGCGAGAGTACATGCTCAACGTCGCCAAAATCAGACTCAGGAAGGCAGGTCAGTCAGACAAACAAAAACCACAGCCAAGCCACCTACCCCCGGCTGTTTGTCATCCCATCTCGTGTGCTGTGCAGGCATCACGAACTACGTGTTGCTGCCGCCGAGCCACCCCCACCTTTCCCGCTTGCAGGGCCAGATGGACTGGGTGGTGTGCGATGTGCCGTCCACGGCCACAGGCGCGCTGAGGCGCAACCCCGACATCAAGTGGAACTACTCGGATGCGCGGTTGTTCGAGCTGGTGGGCCAGCAGCGGGAGATCTTCGAGCAGGCCCTCGGGTACATGAAGCCCGACAAGGGCAGGATCGTCTACGTGACGTGCAGCGTGCTGGACGAGGAGAATGTGCAGCAGCTCAAGTACTTCTGCCAGAAGCACGGGCTGGTCATGACCGAGCCGCCCTTCCACGCCCTGCCGCAGACCAAGGGAATGGACGGCTTCTTCTGTGCAACCATGGAGCGGAGACAGGATTGAGAGGGGGATAGCTAGCGGGGAGGAATGGTGTGTGAGTAGATGAGCTGAGGGTTTCTGTCTGTGTCAGTCGGCTGCTGTTGTTGCCCTCAGGCACCGAATGGTGTGTTCTTGACAGCTGCAACAACTGTGCCGGAAAGCGCCATTGGCAGCTGTCAAGATCGTCATCGGTAGCTGAGGGCAACAGGCCTGCACATGTGCTGAGTGATGGACTGGCTTATGCTTTCACCATAATGCACACATAGGGAAGGACAAAATCGGTCAAAGGCCAAATATGACGCCTCCATGAACGCATGGCGCCCACACATCCAACACACACTGCCCATATGAAGGAAAGAGAGAGACACAGACTCCTCCGTAGCTACAGAACACACTGACCAAGTGACCAAATGACCAACCGCTCAAAGCCCAGGAATCAGGTGGCCGGCAGCACCCAAATCCAGCAGGTCCCCCGTTGCCTGAAAGGGGTCCACAGACAGCCCAGCAAAGCCCAACAGACCTACACACACCGATAGACAGACAGACAGACACACAGAGATGGATGGACAGCCGCCATGTCTCCTCTCCCCTCCCCTCCCTGTGTGTGTGCTCACTGACCCCATCCAATGATGTGTGTATCCATTATCACATGCAGCTGGATGGTCAGCTCGTGGATGGAACGCGCCCCAGCGAAGCTGAAGTCGAGGTACCTGGGGAACGCGGCAATGAAGCCGTCCAGCAGGCCGGTCTTAATGACACTGCCCACGAGGCACGCGACGACCAGAAAGTGAAGGATGGGCTGCAGCAGCAGGTGCCCGATCAAATCGATGAGGGCGGTGACCATGAAGTCCCGGTAAATCGGCTCCGGCGTCGCCACTTCGTCCTCGCCCATTTCCGCCAGTCGGGAGGAGAAGACAAAGGCGACGATGAAGTAGATGCACCACGCCCACCACGCAAAGGCCAGCGTGTAGCCCACTGTCTCCCGACGCCGCCAGATCTCAATTCGTTTAAGCTTCTGCGCACACACAGACACACAAGGGCAGACGTGGAACAGGGGACACGAGGAGGATGTGTCTCTCTCTCACCTTTTCTAGTGGGAAAATGTCGGAGTGCCGAAACGCCGACTCGGTGTAATAGTGGAGGTCCGTAGGGCGTCTCCGCTTCTCCCTGATGTAGAGCTCCTCGACTGCCGCTTTGTGGGTGGCTTTGTGGAAGGCTGGTGCTGGCCGAAACGACTGGAAGAATCGCTGGGTTAGTGTGGCCGGGCCGGGTGGGGTGGCCTCACTCCCAGGCTGGCCGTCAGCGAAGTAGGACGGGTCGCCACTGCCCTGACCCCGCTTGACTGCGGGAGCTATGACAGGCGTCCCCTTGCGGAATAACATGTACATGATGATTGGCACCTGTACGCACACACACACGCACACACACACACACATCCGTTGTGGAACCACGGATATAACACACTGGCTTACCGGTTTGCTGATGAACACTGCCCAGACGAAGACGGCCAGCTGCCTGACGGTGATGGGCCAGCTGACGCTCCTCCCGAGATGCATCTCGAAGAGCACCTCCTCCTCCGTCTTATCGGCACCGCCGTAGCGATAAAAGGCCGCAGATACCATCACCAAACCCAACAGGATACCACCGAAGACCAACGTCCTTTGAACAGCTGTGCACATGCAGAAGAAGAGGCCCAACAAGGTCTAGCTAGGTGCTGGGCGTGTTTCTCGTCCGCCGTTTACCAGTGAGGACGGGATTGAGAATGAAAATGCTCAGAAGGGGGTGGTCTCGTCGGAGCACCTGCTGGAAGAGCCTCCCTCTCGGCCATTCAATATACCTAGTCAGGTCAAACAAACATGATGATGCATGGTGCCTCGGAGAGGAGGGATGCCGCCAATGTGCTCGAGTGTATGATATACATACTCGAGGCGCCGCATCGTCCGCTCCGTGATCATGTCTACCTCAATGTTGACCTGAGGAACGGCGGTATGTAATGTGTGCTTTCCTGTCTGTCTCTTCATTCATCTGCCTCGTCTGTCTGTCTGTCTGTCTGTCGCACCTCCTCCCACAGCTCAACGGCACTCTTCCTCCTTTGTACACGTGGGGTCCCCCTAGACAGCACCTCCCTGCCCTGCCCTGTCTTGCCTGCGTCATCTGTCGAGCCCGACAGCGAAGAAGGCGATTCGTCCCCGATTTCCTCGAAGCCCACCCTCCGGGTCTCGGCGGCCGTTGTGCCTCGCTCGACCCTGCTTTCAACCTCGATGGCGTCATTCGGACTATCGTCATGGTCTGTTGCCGACTCCTCCTGCCTGGGGGGGTAGAGGTTGTGCATCGGCGCACGAGGGAGCTCATCAGTGTCGCCAACAACTGCCTCCCCGGCATCCTCGCCGTGCAGATCGTCCGTGTCTCCAGCTGACGGTGGGCAGCCCTGTGACTGGGGCGTGGCTGCTGCCATGGAGGCGGGCGTGGCCTCCCCAGACCTGTACGGCACGGAGCTAACGCTCAGATGAAGAGACGTGCGGCGGCCGCCCCGGGACTCGGGAAATGCGGGCGAGAAGGCCGCACTCCTGCCAGTACCAGTTCTGCCGGTGGCCTCCGACTCATAGATAGACATCACTGAGCCCCGGCGCGCAGCTGCAGGCAGCGCACACACAGAGGTCAAAGGGTGCTCAGCCGTGGGTGTCTCATACCCATGTCTTCAATGTATCTCCGGCTAAGGGTCTTCCAGGCGGAGAAGCGATCCCCGTCGGAGAGAGTGGAGTCAGCCTCCGATCGGGCAACGGACCCGCGCCCGGACAGGAATGTGGGGTGCTGCCTTACCGGGCGAGCCGCAAGAACCTTGCTCCACCATCGTTGAATCAAGACGGCTGCGGCCTGCTGCCTTTGGACCTGCAGCAAGAGCCGGCTACGTATCGCCTCGCGAAGGACACCGGTACTGCATAGAAGTGGAGCGAGACGTATGAACACTCTTCCTCTGTCTGGAAGAGGCTAGGGGCACCTGATAAGGTCGACACGTCCCTCCCTGCGACAACACCGAAGCAGCGGGAATCTGTCGGAGATCTTGTGCTCCCTTGCCGGCAGCTGGGCATCCGCCTCCACCCACTCACGCCTTTGGGTTTGCTCGACAGCGTCCCCCCTGTACACCTCCGGCTCGGCCTCCGCAGTGTGTGTGGGGGACAGGTCAGTATCGATACCCTCTCCCTCGCTAGTGTCAGCCTGGATCTCGTCATGGCTCCGCCTGACCCTCCTTCGCGGCGACTGCTCTGCAGCAGCCTCGTCACTGCCCGACTGTGGCGGTGAACGGACCACACTGCGTGTGGCGGGAGACATCATGGCGTTGTCGTCGTCCTTCTTGGGGTCGGCTGCCGGCGGCGCGAGTAGTCTGTTGCGCTCCAGGTGGTCGTGGAACTGGTTGAAGACCAGCTCTGGAAGGCTGGGCACACTTGATTTGAGGTTGAAAATGATGGAGCGACGGCTCTTTGGCAGCATGGACGACGCCTTGCGTGGGGTGGCCCTCCATCTGACGAGGCCAAGAGACACAATGGGAAATCGCTCAGCTCGACTCGCTGAATCTGACACTCACTTGGCGCTCTTGCTGCTGCCGATGGGCAGCAGGTCGTCTTGTTCGCCGCGATACAGTGATGCAGCTGCGAGTGCGTCAAGGACTTCCCCGTCCTTGCTATCGTGCAACTTGCCGTACCCATCCGCGACCCTCCGGAGGTCATCGCCCTTCCGCAAGCTGAAGACAATCTGCTGCCTCATTCTTCTGATCGCTCTCAATTCTGTGAGGTGCAGTGTCGGCTGCCGGCCCGACAGGCGGTTGCACACGGCTTGGCAAAAGCGACATGCAAGGCCGTCCCAGCAGGCCCCACAACACCGATAGACTGGCCCGAGCCATCGCTTTCGTTGCCGCCTCATATACTGGTCCATGCGGAACCTGAATCGACAACAAAACGTGTCAAAGGGAGGTGTAGCGAGATGCAAGCGAACCTGCTGTCCAGAAGGGGGTCGGTCATCCACATGTCCATCAGATCATCGTCTGACATCCTGCACGTTCACATTTTGACAACATCTGGAGATTGTGCAAGATGCCTCCGCTGGCTGAGCTTTGCTCACTTGTGCGTGCGGTCCCACCAGACAGCCAGGACGAGGAAGAGCAGCATGATCGCTACCTCGAAAAGGATGAATCGTGCAGCCACATTCTTCTCCCACTCGCGGGTATCTGCCAGTCGCTTAAGCGCCTCCTGTGATTCAGCAATGACGCTGGCGAAGCTGCTGTCCCTAATTACCGTACTGCACAGAAGGCCAAACATGCGGGAGCCACTCATTTCTGCCTGCATTTGTGGGGTGAGGTGGACCTGAACACGACGCTGAAGTCTGATAGGTGATAGCACTCGCAAACGATTGTGTCGGCGGTTGTCAGGGAGGTGTTCTGATAACAGCCTGGAAGCAGAGACACGACGATGGTAAAAAGTAGAGATACCGCTGCTCCCCGTCTGACCGTCTGTACCTGCCGTGCTCCATTGCTGTGTTGCATAGTCGAAGTACCCACATGCGAGCTGCGTCGTGATGATGAATGGACGCCCGTGCTTCATTGCCTGGGTCGTGTTCATCACCTCCAGCCGCCCGTTGATCTTCACAACCCCGTACTCATCGCCAAAAGTGCCCTGGCGGCTGTTGCTGTCGGAGTTAGGTCTGGGAATGTGCAAAACAATAGGCTCTTCCGTCCTCTGCAGCTGCAACGGGACCTCTTCGTCGCAATATCTCGCCTGCATACGGTGAGACACTGGAGGTGCGGGCCTTTGGTGAATCTGCCTATGCATCTCACCGCGGCCGTGAGGGTGCCGCCCTTGCCCTCCCAAGCGCTTGTCTCCAGCTCCCTCTGTGGCTTGTTCAGCATGCTCTCGACCGTCGCGTCGACCGCCGCTGTGTCGTCCTGTCTGCCGCCCGAGTACAGACCATCTCGCCACCAAATTAACTGCCCTGAGGGAGTTGAAAGCTGACTCGCGCATTGGGGAGGCTGGCTTGCTTGAAGATGTCGCCGGAGGCGGCGTGATGATTTTGCGCTTGGGACTGGGATCGTCACATTTGGTACCGCGACTGAGACATTCGTGCCCGAGATGTTAAGAGCAAGTCTTGATGAGGTATTCACCACCCGCAGCGCCATCTGACAGTCCAGCTTGCTGCAATCAATGACACATCATCTTTACAGCTTTCGCGAATGCAGCCTCTTTGCGTCTTACCTCCCTGACACCTCCAGAGTGCTTTCCGGATCACCCAGCAGGTAGAGAGAGGAATCGCCAAGGCGGCCAGTAGACTCGCCGATATTTCGTGTGAGGGTGGCGGTCTCGCTTGGTCCCACGGTGGCTGGGAGGCCTCCGATTTGTCTCCCGAGGGAGGCAGCAGACGTAAGTGAGGTTTCTACAGCCTGGCGGATCTTGCTGCGCTCCTTCTGGCTGAGCGTTACGGGGGTCATTCGTGGGTTCGAGACATTCTGTACCCAGTCCTCAAGTCGCCATGATTCCACTGTTTGGCGAGTAATGTCGACCTGGAGATCGAATATCTCCGCCCCTTTCTGCCCCGATGGCACGTCAAATGTTGTCGTGGACTCGAAGAGATCCACGGCTGTCTCCACCGCTTTGGCTGAGAGAAGAGCTTCAGCCGAGGATATGGGGACCTCCGTCAAGCTCGCCGTGCGCAGCCGATACGCCTGACATGCATGCGACGCTCTGGGTATCGATGTGTGCATGAGTGCATACCTGAATGAGCGAGCTGAAGAGGTCTCGAGCCATGATATAGACAGGATCACCATCCTCTTCGCCTTTGCCTATCGATCCTGTGGGTCGCGGCCGGCCTTCAGGAATTTCATCCGGCCTGTATTTAGCTGTGCTTGCCTGATTCAAATGCAGTCATCTCCATGGCTGGGACTTCGGCCCGTTCCCTTGCGTACCAGTGTGACTGCAGCATATAGCTTGTGTGTGTGAAGGCTGAATGCGCTGCCCAGATCAGGGGGGAGGTCTTCGAACAGCACATCTGCACTTCGGGTGATCTCGCTTTCCGCAATGCCGTCCGGGTCACTTATGGCATCGATATCATCCGTAACCTTCAAAACACAAGCAACGCAGACGTGAACACATGTCTCGCTTCTTGGAAAACCTACAGTTTCCATATCAATGTCGAAGACGTCAGTTCTCCCACCAGGCCCAGTAAGGTTCTTCACCAGACTGAAGGTGTCTAAATGGAGACGCGAGCGCAATGAGGCAAAAATGGTCGTGGACAAAAGTGCTCTCGCCCACTTGCTGGAGGGAGGGTCGCCCCTGGAGGGAGCTTCGGTATGACCACTTCTATATTGGCCGCTGGTCCCCGGTTGCCAGCATAGTCGCGGCAAGCCTTCTTCTTGACCCTCAGCAGCTGGTCCTCATGCAGTTTCCTGTTGACCAGCAGCTTCTCCCCTGTCTCCGTCCTGTCAACGTGTTGCCCGATTCCGAGCTCTGTCTCTGTGCCGACAACCTGCTGGCCCTGCTGGTCGAGGATGATGAGCAGGAACGCGTGATCTCGACAGTCTTTGATAGTCTCGCTACAAGCCAGGCTGGACACAGCTTCCACGACAAACGAATCCGGTGAGGCCGGCTCGAGGAGAGACAAGGCGCAGTCAGGATTAACACCATCTAAGTGCAAAGAAAGCCATGTTTTTCCTCTCCTCGACGAATAAACTGCCTTGCTCACCGATGAAGAGGGTCTTGTTTTCTGCTCTGTTTGAATTGCCAGCCCGGTCGGAGACTGAGCCTTCCGGTAAAATGAAGTCGACAAATCCGTTGATCGCCTTTGCATTACCCGGAGCGAGGTGCACAGTGTAGGTATGCTCTGTTGCGTACTCGCCAGCCTGCGGTGACGCTAAGTTGTTTGTCACTTGGGGGGCGATGGCTTCGGCGCCCGCCGAAGCGCTGATGCCGATTGCACCTTGGAGGCTGATCGAGTCGCGGACGTCCTCAGAAAAGAAGAATCGCAGTTGCAGGTCGTTTGGGGGACAGACGGAATACGGCAAGTCCTTGTCCTTGGGGTCCTTGCCCTCTCCCGTATATTCGATCTCAATGCGTGCATCGGGCGGCCAAGGGTCGTACTTCACTCGTGTACGCGCACCAACCAGATGAGTGATCCCGGCAGTGTCGTCAATGTCCCCATAGACGAGAAGCGTAGCGTTTAGCGTCGTGTCCTCTGGAGGCTGATCGAAGTCCATTGTGAAAACAACTTCGTCTTTCGCGGCATTCAGCTGGGCGTCGACAAGCGTGGCCTCGTCAGAAGAGAAGATGCCCACCGGGAACGACTGGACAGCCCATGTAAAGGTTCCATTTCGCGTATATGTCTGCTGGTTGGTCCACTTGTCCCAGCCTCCCTCCCAGAGAAAGGTCAGAATACTGGAGTCTGTTTTACAAATGGCGAGACACAGACGGTCTTCGTCATCTAGCACGATGTGATATCTCTTCTGTCTGCTTCTTTATTGGCTCACTGTAGGTGAGATTGATGGAGCTCTCTGCATCGTCAACGCATGGATTCCCAGCGACATCAACAATATCGCTACCGGCGCACACGACCCCGATCGTGGTCGACCCCTCATTCGTCGCGTCGAACGAGAAGGTCCATGCCTCGTCCAGCCGCTCCTTGACAGCCAGATTGGTGTACGTGAGTGGGCCGGTGAAGGTGAAATCATCGACTGTCACTCCGGTGACCTTCTCCTGGAAATTGACTGAGACGGACATGTCCGGCAGACCCACGTCTGAAAGCAGAGAGTAGAACCGCGGCACCGGACCTGTCCTATCTGAGCAAGAAAACAAGATGGAACAGCAGAGCAACAGATTGCTCAGACAGGCTCTTCTGACTTACCCACAGAGAAGACGATGTCTACTTTGTCATTTTGGTTGCCCGCCATGTCAGCAACGCTGTCCTTGGGTAGCTCCACCGTCCACAGTCCCTCGGTCAGCACGGTATACGTCACATTGAGACACGCCTTCTTTGCTGACGCCTCCCCACAGTCCGTGTATTCCGATGAGAAAACGGGCGTCTGTGAAGACACCGTGGTCCCATCAGGCTCGATCAGTCGTAGACCGTTCTGGAAGCTGATGACGGCATCGACCACGTCAGTGTCGAAGCGGAGGATGGCAGTGACTGTGGCCCCGTTTGTGAAGTATTGATTTTTGTAGAGCGGAAGAGCAGGATCGGAAAGCAGCTCGATCTCGATAGCTCCACCTGCATGGCACGCATGAGAAACAGAAATGCAAATGGTGCCCCCTCGCTGCCGCCAGATGCACAGGGCCGGGCCCCTTGCTCACTGAAAGCGATGGTCACATTCGTAGGCTCGAGGGGGTTCCCCGCAAGGTCGGTGACAGCGTCGGTCAGGGTGACGGTGATGAGGTCATCCTCCGTCTCGCTGTGTTCGATGTTCAGCGTCGCCGAAAAGGACCGCCCGTCGGGTAGCTCGGTGAGATCAATGCTGCACTGCTTGCACTTGAGGTCGATGAATGTTGCCGAGTCGTTGAACTGGCGAACCGGCTCCGAGAAGCGGAAGTCGATGGGGACAGACTGCTGGTTGGTGACGTTGCCCTCCGGAAGCGAAATCGTGACAGAGGGGGCAGCATTTGTGAGAGCAAGAAGGGCACTGAAGGCAAACAGGGCGAGGAAGGCGTCGGTTCGCTGCATTCACGCGGAGGAAGGGAGTGAAGATGAAACGTCGAGATTTTGGGTAGTAGGGTCAGGGTATCCGTAATTCGTAATGCGAGCTTTTCCAGAACTTTCTTCTTTCCCCACCAACTTTCTTCTTTCCCCACCCCTTTCTTCTCCCCTTCTGCGACTCTCTCCAACAGCCAGAGCCATCCTGTGCGTTGCATCTCCAAAAAAAGAAACACTTTAAGGTGGGCGGGCTCACTGGAAGGCGGAGGAGGGGGAGGGGGTGGCAGATCAGCCAGGCAGAGTCGCCAGGTGTGCCCTGCATCACCGCCTGGATGCATACGCACGGCGGCATCGGCTTCGCTGAGGTCTTGTTTGTGCGTCGTCCTGCAGGTTGGGCTCGTGTGCTGTGTTGTGTGATCATGGACACAACCCCCGAGATGGCCAGCACCATGCTCTTGGACACGCAGTCGCCGCCACAACAGCCTGCGCACTACAAAGATGGAGATCACCTGACCAGCTACATGGGCTCGGCACACAGCGGGTTCGACGGGGCCGAGAACACCACGCTGCCCTCACCGGGTCTCTTCACGTCCTCCACGGCACCCTTCATCGACTCGTCACAAGTGCGCCCCCGCACCGCGACCATCCCGGGCTTCTACCTTTGGTCAGACACACAGAGCGGAGGGCAGGCAAAACGGGCACGAGACACGTGTCGCCATACGTCTCTTGTCTTTGTGGGTGTTCAGGACGTGCTGCTGCGAGGTTGAGGTCAACGGTCCTGAGGCCCCGAGCTACCCCGCTGCCGGCCCTCGCGCCAACTTCCGGAGCGTGTCGTCGATGCACGGGAGCGAGAGCCACCACTCGACGATCGTCCTGACTGGCGAGGACGTGTCCGGCGAGGGCAAGAGCGTGGCGTGCAACAAGCCATACTTCACGCTAGGCAACGACCTGGTGCAGCACGGCAGCCCCTCCAACCGCCGCCCGCCCCTCAGCCCGTCGGCCAACCGCGGCGAGGTCCTCAAGAACATGACCGATTTCTTCCGCAACTCCGCGGAGGCCATCTCCAAGCAGATCCTGGGCGACGAGGGCATGTTCAGCACCAGCGGCAGCCCCCCGCCCTCACTCCCAAGCACACCCAAGTCGGCCACCAGCGATCGCGTGTCGGGCGACTGGCTCGTCGTCAGCGAGGGAGAAATTAAGGTGAGGAGGGGAGAGAGCACACGACGGGCGATCGTGCATCGGCCTCTTTCTGCATGTGTGTCGGTCTGTCTGTATGTATGTCTGTGTGTGTGTCAGGAGAAGGACAAGTCGTCTGAGGGTGACTACGACGTGGACGACGGCAGCGACCTGCCGTCGGTGACGGGCATGATCAGCAAGTCCAACAAGGCCAAGATGGCCCCCCACACAACCGGCAAGTCGTCCAAGGGCGGCAAGACCTTCCTCCTCCCCAGCCCCTTTAACAGCCCCATCTCACACGCCGACAGCGACCGGCTCTCGGGCGACTGGATGGTCATCAAGAACAAGTCTGCCTTGACCGACTCGCCCATCCAGGCCATGTGATCTGAGTGGGGGGGCGTGGCGGGGCGTGGCTGGGTGGGTGGCCATGGCCATGGTGGGCGTGAGAATCTTTGGGTGAGTGTATGTGGGGGTGTAGGGGGCAGTGCATGTAGTCGAGGTGAGGGGGTGGAGGCAGAGAGGGATGGAGGGACGGATGAGAGGGTTTTCGTTCATCTGATGTGTCCTTCCTATACTTGCATGTCATGTGTGTGCGTGGGGGGCAGGGCAGGGCGGGGCAGGGTGGGGAGGGACTGACACGGCAACCCACTGAATGAAGTGCTTTTATCCTTCTGTTGGTGTCTGTACATATGAGAGCTGCGCGTGTGTGTGTGTATGGTCGTCAACCAACAGAGCGCATACACACACACATCCATACCATACAGTCAGGCTACACAGACCAGCCCAGTGCGACTTGGCTGTTGTCCCTTGCCAGCTGCGCACTTGACCACTCACTCCAGCGTCCTGGCGGTGAGTGGTGCCGTGTGCAGGTCGTGACGGAGGGACAACAGCTGGTTGCGCACACACACAGGGCTGGCTCTCTGCAGGGCAGGCACGGAACATTACTGCCCGTTCTCGTTTTCCTCTGTACGTACGGTATTCCTGTAAGTTGTACTGTGTGTGAGGCGAGAGGGGGAGAGGGAGAGAGAGAGGAGGTTTTTCTTCTCTGTATTGCTGCTGGCTTCTCTCGCCCAAGAGTGCAAGCGGCGATCGACCTCTTTTATCCATCCAATCCACATGTGTGAGTGCATCGCATCGCATCCTTGCTTTTGCAAAAGAGTTCTGCCTTTCCCTACCTTCGGCCGGTGACTATCCGCTGCATTCACGCGTGCAGGAAGGCTACAGCCTCGTCCGTCCACAACCATCCACACACACAACACCACACCACACACACATGACCTCTGGCTGGCCTTTGGTGGATCAACCGAACTGCTGAGCCGATCCAGCATCCCTGTCTGAGTGTATGTTAATGGGTGCAATTTATCCAACAGACAGGCGCTGGAGAAAGGAGTGAGGGGGGGGGGCATGGTCGGATGAGTGGGGGGGTGAGTGCTGCGTGTGGGTGGCTGAGGGCATCGTGTCGTGACCTGGTCTTCCTCTCTTTGTGCGTGCGTGAAAGTGGTTTGGGTATGTAGAAGAGTCAGACTGCCGCCATGTGCTCGTGGTTCATCGCTCGTTCGCCCCTCTCCTGACTGAAGCTGAGATGGCCGTGTGTGCCTCTCCCCACACATGGGACCTCTCGCTCTCAGGTTGGTGAGGGTCGCACCGGCGACGTCCAGGGAGCAGGCCGGCCAATCCTTCACACATACATACTTAGATGCACACACACATATCGGTTTTGTCTGTCGCTGCGAGTGGAAACCTCCGTCTGTCTGTCTATCTATCTGTTTCTCCCTTTTCTCTGCCTGTCTGCATGGTATAGTGGGTGTCAAAGTGTCTGTCGTCGAGACGATGGAGTTTTGTGTGCTGCTGACGGACACCACTCCACTCGAAGCCTACACCGCCGACCGACCGGCTCACCCAGGTCGGGCTGCTGCCACTCTCTTGTGCTGTGATGTGGTGGCGTCGCGTGTCGTTCATACCTCCATCCATCCATCCATCCACCCACGTCGTCCGTCTACTTCTCTCTCGTGCCCGGGTCCGTCTCGTGTTGCTGCGTACACCATGAGCTGTCATTTTTCTGGCGTCCCGTACGACGAGTCGTGTGGTTTTGAGCCTCCTGGCCCTTTGCGTACGGTGGCCGTGGCTGGAGACCAACGTGCCAGGCAACGCAGCCAAGCGCTTGGTCTGCAGTGATGCCATCTGACGTGAAGGAGCAGGGGCTCAAGGAACAGGGGAAGGGCGCGCGGACAAAGCAGCTGGATCGAATATCGAATGCGTATACACACTGTTGAGAGGGAGGGAGGGAGGGAGGGAGAGAGTCAGTCGTTGTTATCCGGGATTGCGACGGGGAGGTGAGAGGCATCCCAGGTCACTCACCTGCACAAGAGAGCCGAAGAGAGCATTCCTACACGTGCGTGTATGTCTGTCAGCGACCCAAAGGCAGGCCCGCCCCTCAGCCAGCCAGCCAGCCAGCCAGCCAATCGTTGGAGTGTTGTGTATGTGTGGGTGCTTGTGCGAGAGGCGGGTGGGGATGCCACTCCGGGGTGACTGCCTCACGACTGATGCCGACCAGACAGACCAACAACAGATTTTTCTCTCTCGCCTCGCCCGCCCGCTGATTTTTCTCCTCGTCTAGCCTCTTCTCGCCTCTGTATTACCTACCTGTCGTGAGATTCTGCTTCCATCCTGGTGTGTCCATCGTCCATCCGCACTTCTAGAGGGATACATGTGTGTCTGTCTGTCTGTCTTGTGATGTGTGTGTGTAATGAGGGCGCAGTGGTGAGCGATCCGAAGTGACATGGCACTGCGCTCCTGGGGACTGCTGTTTGAGTGGCTGCACGACATGTGTGTGCGCGTGAGTGTGGGTGTCTGTCTGTGGGCGTGTTGGCGGCTGGCTGGCTGGCTGTGAGTGGCTGTCTGTTGGGGCGAGGAGGCAGTTTTGCGACACGACGGGAGCAATCATGGACGGACGGACGACCGCTTTTTCCCACACCCCCTTCTGCCGGCATCCCTCTCTCTCTCTTCCTCCATTTAGGTAGGTGGCGGTTGTGCTTTTCTTAATTACCTGCCTGCCTGCCTGTGCCTAGCTGTCTGGCCACTCACTGCTTTGCTTGCATGGTGAGTGAGCGGCTTTGTCTTTGTGTGGTGGATGCTTTTGGACGCACGACGATGACGCATGGATGAAAAGGGATGGATGGATGGACAAAAGAAATTCCCTTCATCAGGGTTTCTCGCGTTAGCTCGCGTCTCGACGCTCCCCCCTCACTCCCCCCATCTTGTGTAGTAATCTTTATCAGAGTTGGCGGGCCATCATGGACCTCCTGACGTTGGAGGGCCTTCTCTGGGCCTACAGCGTGTCGATGCTCATCATCGGCCAGTATCTTATCTATGGCAAGTGCCGTCCATCCATCCATCCATCACACACCCGCCCCCCTCCCTCCCAGCCTCACCTCGTGTTGTTCTTTTGCACTGCAGGCTTCCGCTGTGGAGTGTTTGCGGCCACGGCAACGCCCCACACTGGCATTTGCCCGAATGGTTTTCGTCATCGAAAGGGCTCCTGCAGCTGCTATAAGCTGTTCACGTCGCCGCAGAAGAGCTTCAACGGTGCAAAGATAGCCTGCAATGTGGCAGGGGCCGCCGGAGACTATGACCACCTGGTAGGCAAGCCAAGAAATCGCCATTCATTCGACGAGCCATCCATGCATCCTTCGCGTGCAGGTGACGTTGAGTGACCCTGCCGAGCTGTGGTGGCTGCAGGAGTTCATCAGGGGGCAGACTTCATCACACGCCCACATATGGGTTGACTACAGACGAGTAAGGACACTCTTGGGATGGATGGCGTCATGTGGCGACGATCAATTGGCCTGGCCTCTCTTTGGTGGCATCAGAACGAGAGTGGGTCGTTCTCGGAGCCCTCTACCCCGGACTTCGGGGGCGCCGAGAGAGGTGCAGCAGGATGGCAAGGCCGGGCACTGAAACAGAAACAGGACCACGGGTGTCTCCTTTGTGTGCCCTCCCTCGTGCAGACCGTGAGGGCATCCTGACGCCAGGCAGCTGGACGCCCAGCTCTGAGTACCACCAGGCTAACATCCACGAGGCCGAATGGGAGCCATACCATCCCCACGGCGACAGCGATTACGACTGCGCAGCGATCCACTGGGACGCACATGAGCACGACCACGGACACATGGCGGCTCTGCTCTCTGAAGATTGTGGCTCGTCGGAGCCTTACATTTGTGAGGTCGAGCCGTCCCCAGCCGGCGAATGCAGTAAGCCGAGAGACACAAATTGCCTTCCATTTGGCGAGAAAATTTTTGTGTCTGTCAGCCCCTGCTCCAGCTGTCGCTTTGACGGTGCCTAACGTGAATGATTTCGCCTCGACTGGATCCTTCAGCATCACTGTCAAGTTCTCCGTACCAGTTGACCAGGGCACATTCAGACCGGAGCGGCTTGTGGTGCTCGGCACCACAAGTGCTGACGTCTCGGTGGCAGACTGGCCTGAGAGTGACATGACAGCCACGGTCACCATCGATCCGACCCCTGCGAAAGGGTTGTTTACGCTTATGGCTCTTGAGGGGCTGGCTGATGGGCAAAGCGATGGACAGGGGAGCCTGCCGTCGATGCCGCTGGTCATTCACAGGGGGTGTCGCATCGACAGACAGGAGTGGTCTACGGCCACTCAGCTGGATCATTACCCCAAGGTGCTCAAGCCTTTCGACTGCGCACTCAAGTGCCACCACAAAAGGTATCCGGTCCAGAGAGTCGCCAAACAACAGGGTGCATCTGTGTGTGTATGTGTGTGCTTTCAGCGGCTGCACTCACTACACAGTCAAGAGTGACTCCGTTGGCTCTTCCTCGAATGGCTGCTATCTGCACTCGGGGGCCATCAGCAAGGAGGGGCATTCTGACGCTGCGGTCTCTGAACTCCTTTCGTGCGGCCCAGTCCACGGTGGGGAGACACACTGGCGTGGACTGACTGCATTGTGTACTGCTTTCTTTCGCATTTGGTGAGATTCCTCTTTGGCCCCCGCTCCTCAGATGTAAACGAGCCTCATGCGTGGATTGCCCAGAATGCCACCTCGTTCAACACGACCTCTTTCAGCGTCGACATCATTTTCGACGAGCTGGTCCGCCGATCCGTGTCCGACCTACGGCGCCTGGTCAACATGACGGCGGCCAACAGCACGGCGTTCGACTACAGTGTGACCGACGTCAGCTCGCCCAGGGCCCTTGTGGCCCTGAAGGCTTTACGGGTGGATGTGAACGTCACAGAGGCAGCATTGAAGAACGGGAGTATGTTCCTGTTCCAATTCAACAAATCGCATGCCATTGTTGACTTCGCCGATAACCAGCTGGCTGCGGAGAACCGATCGGCGGTCATAGCCCTGCACTATGGTGAGGGAGCCAGCATACCACTGCCTGTCTGTGTTTTGGTGAGATGCCCGCTTTCTTGTGCAGCCGGCCCCTCTCTGCCATTGAGTGTCTCCACCACACCTGAACCTGTGGGACATATGCGCAAATGCGGTCAGCCACCGGCCACACCGTTTGTGTGTGTTCTCGGTCAGGTGACGACTGTCATTCCGTCAACCACTCCCAGCCCAGCAACCACAACAAGGTCAGCTGCGAGAGGGCCTGTGTGGGCGGGAGACACAGGCATGAAATGTCCCCCTTTTTGCAGCACGACAAGCACATCGACAACCACCAAGAGCAGCACCACCAGCACAAGTACAACAACGACGACGAGTGATCCCAGTACCACTGCTCAAGTCACAACCACACCCTTGCCCAGCACATCAACCAGCACCAGTGCACAGCCAACGACCACAGAGGCCCCCTCGACCACCACAAGCCCCCCAGTGTTGGATTTTGACATTATCGCGGATGACGTGGATCGTCTCACGGTGGGTGACGGTATGGTCATGCACTGAGTGCAGCAATGAGACAGCCCAGTGTTGCATTGGATGCTGTCTCTCAGGACGTCAGTCGGCTTGAGAAAGCAGAGATCCAGAGGGCAGAGGACCTGATCTTCTCACCAGACGAGGATCCTCCCACCACCCCAGGAAACGATAGCGACGAGGCTTTTGTGGAGTATCAAAACAAGCTTTTGGCGACCATTACCGTGGCCACATCTGCCGCGGAGGACCCGTCTTTGCTGCAGAGAGAGGAGAAGCAAGTCATCAAAACGGTGCTTGCGAGCCTCAACAGAGTGAGTGCTGTCGTACATCCATCTGTGTGTGACAGTCATGTGTGCCTTCCTGTGTACGCATGTGTGTTCTTTCAGACTCTTGCGGGTCGCCGGCGTGGACTCACATCGCGGCCGACCACAGCAGGGGAGGTCCTGCTTGCCGCAACAAGCCTGAATGTCACCATCGGCTCCGTGAGACAATCAAGTAAGCCACCCAATTCGATGCCCTTGTACGCTCCAGCCATCCCTTTGTCGTTCAGACAACCGTGGCCAGCTCAGATATGACGCGACGATGGCCAGACAGAGTGCGTCTATCCTCGACAGCGTCGTCGAGACATCCGCGTCCCTCCCCGCCCTCCAGACGCAGCAACAACAGCGGCAGACCCTCTCTGAGTGGCAGGCGCCCTCTTCTCTCACAGCCCGCGACAAGACCAGAGTCCGCGAGTCCGCCGAGGCGCTTCTCTCGTCTGCAGCTGCGATACCGCAGGAACTACATAACGCGATGCTGATGCATGACGGCAGCAGCGCATATGAGATTGCCGAGCGTGTTGGGGAGTCCACAGGTCGATTGGGTGACGTCCTTCTCTCTGCGCTCGGTGGCGGCCCTTCGCAGCAGCTTGAAGTGGCCGGAGAGAGTTGCAACATGTCTCTCGCATTCCTGGATCCGCAGAATGGCCTGAGCCTCTCGAGCTCGGACAACGCCAATCTGGGGGTGGTCTTGCCCTCTCTGAATGACACAAGCCGCCTGTCAGTGAGGCGGCTGCAGGTCGGCGGAACAGTTGATCCTTGTGCTGTCATCAGTGGCGGATTGCCCGTTCCAACCGCCCAGCTTGTCTTCTGGGAGCAGGGGCTCTTTCAGACGAATGACACCAACACGACCAACTGGTCAGCCAGGGGCGGCTCATCAACCGTGGCTGTGAGAAGATGCAATCAAGAGGTCAAGTTGGACGGCAGCGCACTGTCGGCGCCTGCTGTCCTGACGCTACCCCGTCCGGCGAATGTGGCTGCCCGTGTGGTCAACCTCACTGCCAACGGGTCCCTGGTGCAGCGGGATGAAGTGGGATGTGGGTTCTGGTCGACCAGCGACAAGGCATGGAGCGCTGAAGGTCAGTCACCATGGTATCACAAACACACCACATGCGTCCCGTATACATGCAAGGTGTGTTGTGCTTTGTAGGTTGTGTGGTCGATACCAACGCCTCGACGGCTGATGCGGTGGTCTGCCAATGCCATCATCTGAGCGAGTTCAGTGTGTTGTTCCGTACGGTGATAGAGGACAGCAGTGTGACGTCGGTGGCTGAAGGCAGCGAGGGCTCAGTCAAACGGCTGGGTGATGCGGCGGCATGGAACAAGAATGCAGCAGCACAGTTCGTCGCGGTGGCGGGCGGCGGTGAGCTGACAACAAATGGGAAAGAAAAGGTGGAATTGTGTTTTGTTTTCGTTGCTGCAGTGTTGGTTATATGTCTCCTCCTCGCCTTTTGGTCCGACATGCGGCACAAGGTGTCTGATAGTGACCTAGTGGACTTGCACCTGTCTGATCGGCTGCTTGAGGCCAGATACAGACAAGTAAAAGGCCGTAACGGATGTTCATCGATGAGCATCCATCGACGCCATCCTTTGTTTCTTTCCCATGGTTACAGGACATGTATCTCCGTCAGCAGCGCGAGGAGTGCTTCGGTCGGTGCTACGACTGCTGCTGCAACAGCTACCCCTGCCAGGCTCTGCAGCTGACCTTCAACCGCATAACGGGTAGACAGGCCACCCTCCACCTCAAGGAGCTCCAGACTATCCGCCTTATGAGACAGTACATCACAGTGAGCCTCGAGCAGGGCATCGATCTAAGGCTGGTGGCGGTGCAGTTCAGCCAGGCCCGGCAGGAGATGGAGGCCACCATCAATCCCGCGGTGGCCATGCAGACTCCCAAACGAAGGTCAGGGCTTCCTTGCACACACGGAGACACAATCTCTCGCCTGTGTCTGATGCAGTCGCCGTTTCGGCAGCATCGCTGCGCAGTTTGCCAATACCCCCCGCAGAGGCCCTCACATGCCCAAGAGCCGCCGGTCCATCATAGCGGGGGTCAAGTCGAGCGTACCGTCCTTGCAGGAGATGGTGTTTCAGGCCTTCCACGAGCACTTAGAGAAGACTCGGGGGCTTCCGTCTCACTTCACCAATGTCATGAGCAAGGAGAAGACCGAGGCCGACCAGACTGAGCCCGTTGAGAGCCTTTCTGTGCGAGTAACGGAGCCGCGGCGGCGGTTGAGGGGCAGTCACGATGACGTGGATGCGTCGTCAGAAGAGGAGAGGACGGGAGGGATGCAGATGTCGACAGCAGTGAGACCCGAAATGGAGAGCAACCGTCAAAGGGACCAGAGGGGGGTCGACCAGCACGCACATGGACAAGCACACCGCCCTAAGCAACACCAGCCCCACCACGCAGAAGAGGAATATGACTTCGTTGAGGGCTGCTGCAACCGAGAAGAGGTCGATCTCCTCAGGTAGGTACGATCAATGGCGAGGCACATCCCCATCTGCATGTGCTGGGTGTACCGTCTCTTTATTTAGATCTGGTGTCCTTCGGGATGCCCTGCGTGCCCGCCTGCTGCTAGGTCTGTTTGCCTGCTGCCTTTGGACCTCGCTTATACACTGTCACTTCTTGCGTATACTATCTGTGTACATGTGCTTTATGTGCTTACATTTGCTTGTTGTGAACAGAAGTGCAGCGGCAGCAAGCCGCCTGTCTGCTCATCCAGCGATGGTGGCGGGGCAAGGTCAGCTTCCTGTCAGTCAAGATAGGCGCTGTCAGGCAGCCCGAGGACGAGCCATCCGAGGTCATGTCGTCAAGTCGGTCGGCGGCAGATCCCGCACAGCCGACCAGCTACGGCCTCGCACGCGACGACCGGCACCTCAATGACGCGATCAAGGGCTATGTCTCCCGGCAGCGTGCGTCTCAAAGCGGCGAGAGCGGCAAAGGGCGGCTGAGCGTGGCTGTGTTCGATGAGGATGATCGGCAGAAGAAAGGCGAAGGCAAACCAAAGAAGGTGCTGGAGATGCTCTCGTCTCTCTCTCTCAGGTAGGTTGGATTGGTGGACGGGTCGATGAACAGGCGCATCGCATTCATTGCTGTCTACCGGTGCCTGCCCTGTCTGGTTGCAGCTCGCCAGTCAAGCGCACGGAGAAGGAGCCGCTGAGTCCCAAGAATCACGACAATGCGCAAGAGGACCACCACACGCAGCGGTCGCTCCCCGACCCAGAGCAAGAGCCACCCCCTCCCACAAAGCCCCCGACCAAACCCACCGCGCAGCGAGGCGGGCGGCGAGACACCATCAGCGCGCCCATACGCATGACGGCCAAGGAAGCGTGGGAGGAGGTGAATAGAGAGGTCGACGCGATCACGGCTAGGACGCTGCGGCGAATCGAGTACATCGAGTGGCCTAAGGCCCGCCTCTTCAGCGAGGTGTGTCGTCGGGATCACCCACTTCTGCAGCTGTTCATCATTCACCCCTCACTCACAGGCATGCACCAAGCCAGGCATCAAGCCGGCCGAGAAAAGTAAAGCTTGTTTCTTCTGTATGTCTTTTCGCTTGCAGCCGTGCAGAGGACGTTGGTGTTCGGATCGGTGGTGCTGGGGCTGCTGTTGGTCGCGGCATTCTTTTACCAATACGGAGAGAGAGACCTCACAAGAGACGGACACCTGGCGGACTTCAAGCTGGCGGAAGGGTTCGAGGTCACCTTCACCATCCGCCAATTCGCCATACTGATATGGTGGGGGACGTGACGCCAGCCAGCCTTTTGCACTGCACGGTCACATATTCTGAATGGATGGATGGATTGTGTTCACGTATCAGGGCGGTTATACTGGCCAAGGTAACGGTGACGGTGTGAGGACGGACGCATTGCTTTATCAATGACATGGTGTGTGTGTGATTCTGGTATCAAGCCGATTCCGCTTACTCTCTACTTCCTGTTCCGCAAGGGCACCCCGTGCATCTACCCCGCTCACGCCGGAGCCATCCGACCAGGAACAGGGCTGGGAGGGACGGGTGGCGATCGACGGCATCAATCGGCCAACTTCACGTCCAAAGCCAAAGGCTCGCTTGACACCGCCGTGCTGGGCAAACACAGCGGGCTGTTCCCCATGCAGCAGGTGACGGACAGACGGAGAGAGGAGGAGACACAGAGACAGACAAACTGGCGAAAGACTTTTTGTGTGTCGACCGACTGTTTTGATGCACTGTCGACCGACTGTTTCGATGCACTCTCTGCTGATGCAGAAGCTGCGATGGCTGTCGATATGGCGGTTGCGAGATCGGTGTGGATATGTGCTGGCGGCCCTGTGGTGCTCCTTCTGCGTGTACTTCCTACTCATGTAAGCCAAGCCCGGCTGGCTGGCTGGGCGGTCCCTCAAGAGACACACACTCCCACACGCCATGAATGCACCCACATGTCTCGTGCAGGTTTGTCTTCTCCGACTGGCTGGCCGACCGCGGCGAAGGCGATGATGACGAGAGAGTCGTCTACCGAGACTTCCTCGTCACCTGGTAGGAACTACGGATCGACACGCAACACAACACGACAGCCACCCATTCACAGCATTCACAGCCTCATGGATTGGATCGAAGTGTCTCCCTCCCGCATTATGTAATTGCAGCACGCTCGAGACGCTTCTGCAGCTGATCATAGAGCCCTTACTGCACTTTTTGATTGTGGGGGTGCTGGTGATGAGTGTGGTGAGGACGGGCATGTTCGACAGCTTCATTGCCGCATTCCCCGGCTACCTCGACTTCTCCTGGTATGCAATGCCGAGTGAGTGTCATGTGCTTGTGAGTCTTTGTGATTGATGGTGTGTGCGATTGATTGCGCAGGTCGGGCGCTCGGTCGGTTCAGGAGCTGACTGTTCACTTGGGTGCAATAGCGGACGGCGGAATCGTCGGATGGGGTCAGCACAGTCGAACAAACGAATGAACAGATGCATGTGTGTTCATGGATTTTGCTCGTGATGTGTGCCTATGGTGTGGTGTGTGGCATGATATGATATGTGGGATTCAGGTATGCTTGACTTTGCCGGCGTGCAGCTGAATCCGCTGGAGCTGATACCTGGCGTGTAGTAGAGTACCATAGTGTAGCATTGCGTACGTAGGTGGGCATTTTATCGGCTACACACGCACGTAGCATAATTAAATGTCTGTAGCTAGCTACGCAGCATCCATGAAACCAGTCGTAGATGGACCCATAGAGCCAGCCAGCCAACCACGTCAAACACACACATAGATAGCTAGATGTACAATGTACACCTCCCTGATCTGTCTGTCTTGGGGAAGGGGAATGAGCCCCAATACCCAAACGGTGAGCCTTCTCGTCGGTGCCGCAAGCCATCGGCTTCACGTCGACTCTGCGAAGCCTCTGCGACACACCAGGATCCCCAGCCGAGCCGCGTGTACCAATCAGCCCTGACACACACAGAGGAAACACAGAACGGAACCAACAAAGATGGCATCCGTGCGACACACGCAGGGACACGCACATGTTTCGGACACGATGACGTTAGTGGATGCGTCAGACAGCGACAGAAGTTCAGTACATGTGTCGATTCATAAAGAACCCGTGAGTGACGAATATCATCACACGCATAGATGTGTATTGTAGCCACCTGCCTGTTTGTGCCACACACACTTCCACCCCGCCCTCACTCTCACCTTCTCCCTTGGTGTGCTGCGCGAGGGGTCATTGCCGCTGCGCCCAAACGCCATTTTCTACGGTAGGTAGTGTCTGACTGCAGTGGGAGATGGGACGCACGTCGGGGTCGGCGAGCCCACCTCGCCGTGCTGGAGGTGCGGATGGGCGAAGGAGCTTGGCCTGAACACAAACGGGACGGGAGAGCCGAGCACGGGAAGGACTGTTGAGAGGCTGGCAATTAAGACAGCGTAAGAGTGACTCAGTCCATCAGCGATATAACGCCGCCCTCTCACCGTGCGGTGCGCTTGCAGCACAGCCGCCGGCTCCTCGTCACCAACCAGACAACGAATAGAGCAGCCGGTAGATCTCACTGTACGATGGCGTGTTCGTTGTCGAGCGGGCCGACAGGCTCCTCGCTCATGAGGAGGGTAGCTTCGACGGACACTTCGTCTGCGGCATGCTCAGAAGCTGTTCCCGCATGTCTGTCAGACTCGACAGCGATTCTTGCTGCTGGCGAGGTTGCTGGCGGTGTCCGGCAAAGACAGCAGCAGCGGCAGATCCCCGAGAGGATCGCACCCACGGACGCGGGCAGAAACAGGTGCTGGGTCCTTTGAAGACGAGCGTGAGGTCCCAAAGGACCTCTCCCACAGCCTTCCGAATGGGCTCACGACAGAGGAAGCACACGCTGAAGGCGAAGAGGCCGAGGCCACAGTTGAAGAATTCCCCAACCAGGAGTAGCTTCTCTGCGTCCGGAAGGCGCAAGTGCAGATGGTCTGAACGAAAAAGAAGACAGGAGAGACCAGGTTTGTTCAGGCAGACCAAAGCAACACACATCGCCTACGTCAGACAGGCAGGTGTCTGTGACGGCCCCGACGCAGCCACTGTATCAGCTGCAGCCGCAGCCGAAGTGCCGGTGCGCTCGATGAAGTAGGTCTCGCCCTCCTTGAAGGAAGCCACAGGGGTGAACACATCTGAGCGAGAACGAGAATCACAGATGGTCTCGGTTCTAACTTGCGCGTTGGTGTGTGCTGTCTGTCTGCTCTCTGTCCGCCTGTCTGTGCCTACCTGTGCTGTCCTTCACGAGGAAATCATACTGGATGTTGAATAAGTCTTTGACGTACTGAACGAACTGTGGTTCCTGCAGGCACCACGAACAAACGAACAAACACACGACGATCCAGGCGAGCGGATCCCAATCTGCCATCTACAGGCAGATCAGTCAGTGTATCTCACCTACCTGCCACGTTGGCGGGACCTGGATCATCCTGGTGACTTCTGCGCCGCCACTGCGGTCACACACCTTGACCACGATAGGATCCAAAAACATCTACTGACGTACGTTAGCCAAGGCCTTGTCACTCTTCCTCCTTCCCTTTTGGTTTGGAGCACCTTCGACACACGGCATCAGGCCCCAATTTGATAGGGTGGCGGAGAGGGGACACTCGGCTCTGGGTTTCTACAGTGAAATACAACGAGGGTTTCCGGAGCCGTGGTGTCGCAGAAGCTCGCATGACTTGTTTTTCTCCAAACTCCTCCCCCGCGTCACTCACGTCCTTCATCGAGGCTTGGGATGAGCTCAGAGGGCCACCGAAATCGCCGGAAAGGGCTCATTTGCCAATTGGATCGAGTGAGGATCGAATTGCCGGTTTTCTCCAACCTGGCAAATTCGTTTTGCGATTTTTTTGCATGAGCCGCTCCCCACTGAGGCCACACGCACAGGCAGTCAAAGAAAAAAGCGAAACAAACGCCCAGAAGCTTCATTCGAGGAAATGCGAGCTCGAGCCACAAGCGCAAAGGAGGAAGGAGACCGGAGGAGAGGAGAAAGGGCTTCGAAGTGCGTTTGAGATCAGCAGCAGCGGCCTTTGCGTCAGGAATCGCGTTTATTCGCACGGATCTCGTCTCCCAATCGGCTCTCCGAGTGGACGCAGGCATCTGCCTCCTTGCGAAGCCGCCGTGATTTGGCTGCCGAGCTCACTTCCTCGACAGCAGATCTACAACAGCGGCCTTCAAGCATCGCGTCTATTCGCACGGCTCCCAATCGTCCTTTCGACTAGACGCACGCATGGAGCCGCCCACGTTCGTCACCGTCGCTCCTCCCGCCACGGCTGATCCCCCAGACACAGACGTCCTCAGACAATCAGCTTCTGAAGTGGACGTCACGACGACAAGGTCAGCGAAGTCATCGAAGCATCAACCGGAGGCTCAAGGAGATGGCGAGGGCGGCGCTCGGCTCTCAGGCGTGTCCACCACCACCTCGACACCGGTCTCCACCCCTGCAGTTGACGGCCGGGCTCCGCTTGGCGACGGGGATGCTTCGCTTGAGGAGGGTGATGCGTGGGGCTTTCTGGTGCTGCAGACTCACTGTGTGATGTTGTGGCTGACGGACTACCCTATGAGGCATTTCCTTCTCATCATCGGCCTCGTCCTGATCTATGCAGTCTGGTGGTGGGGCGGCATAAGCTACTTGCTTTTTGTCATCCGTAAGCACGAGGGAAGTTTGTTGTTCGTTCCCTTTGTGATTGTGGGTTTGGGGCCGCCCTCTCTGATGGTCCTCGTTGGACTGGGAAGTCTGTGCACGCCGCCTCTTTGGTGGGGCATTCTATGCATCATCTACTTCTTTTTCGTTCTGGCCATCGTCCTGTCCGGGAGCATCTTCTCGACCGCGGTTTATGTGTCATTGAAACCTGATCCCTTTGGCCCCGGCCGCTTCGGCACACTGGCGTGGGTGGCTGGTGCGGTCTCTCTTCAGTTGGCCCTCTTTATCGTTTTGTCGGAGCCACGCATTGTCCGTGCATCGACCAGCCCGACGGGTGAGAGGAAACTCGACGTCGATCACAACCGGCTCTCATGCTGCGGCCGTCGGGCGGAGTGGAGACCCTCACCGACGGCCGAGCGAATAGCCAAGGCTCGGCAAATAGAGCCCATCCTGTACCACTCGGTGGTCAAGCGGCGGCTCAAACGGATGGACATTCTCACCTTCGTTCGCTTCTATAAACTGGTGGCCGTTGTGGGAATGGCCATGGACTTCATTACCGATGCTGCAGTGGGGCTGGAATTCATCAGGTGGTCGATGGTGGACACTGCATGGCGTCGTGCAAGATCCATCTGTGGGGTCCCCCCCATCGGTTCGCCGTGGGATGATGCTGATGAGGAGTGCTTCGATACAACAAGGAGCCGTCTGGAAGAAGAAGCGCAAGGCCACCAAACTGTCGGCTTGATCATCCTGGGCTTATCGTTGGCTGACGTGGTGTCGCTGTTTCTTCACTACTCGATCCGCGGCTCTCCCTCACTCTGCTAACACCTCTGGATTGCTTTCCTTGCCCTGCTGGAAGTGCCGGTCCTGGTGCTGACGATCATGTGGGCGACGGAGGCCAGAAATCCGTTTCTCTTCGTTGTGTCTGCCCTGTTCACTATTATGACGGTTCTATCCCGCTTCGGGACGGTTGCATGGCGCACCCATGTGCAGCGAAAGGTCGCGGCGGCCGCACCGAGCAGTACTCACAAGGTGAGCAAAGAGGAGCGAGCCGTAAACGACAGTGAGGCCAGCAGAAGATCTCGTGCTGTCTGTGTGTGTGATAATTGTCAGCGAGAGCCATCGGTAGTATGATGGATTGCACGCTGTTGGGCACTTATGTGTATGGGGGAGTTGTGGTGTTGCCTGCTGGCCGGTGGGATTGGATTGACAAGTGAAGTGGCTGGCGGTTCATTTCCCCCCGGTCAATCGGACAGGGCGGGAGGGAGCCACCCAAACGATCGGTGGATTCGATTTCACCGCCAGCCGCAGGACCGAAGTGGCTGTGCGTACGGATCTACGGCTGTTAGATACGTTGCAGCGCGAAGGATGCAGCTTTATGCCTGCGTTTCGGTTGTTTGCCAATGCTTGGTTCTGCCTTGAACCCCTTTTTTGGTGTACGTGTCGGTGCGCCTCTGTGATCGATCTGTGTGAGGTCTTGGATGGACAGATGGCTGGCTGGCTGGCTGGCTGAATGGATGAGTGAATGAATGGATGTGATCGTGGTGTCTCAGGAGCGAACCAACACACAAACACACTCACACACACGGACAGGCGAACTCTTGACTCCAAAAAACAGCAACCAACCCACAGGCAGACACAATGCCTTCAATTTCTACTCACATGAGAGCATTCCAGCTTAGTTGCCGCCACTTGTCTGCCTGCCTAAGTCCATCAACTCACGCAAGTACTCATGCATGCACAAGGCAGGCACAACAAACACAAGTCGTGACAACACAGAGAAAACTCAGATCTTCTCATCGGCACGGGCAGACGGCGATCTGAGCTGACCAGCCATCTCCTGCCCGTTGGACAGCCACCTGCCCATAGCGACAGACAAAAGAGGTGAAGGATTCGGCTGGGGCCGAGAATGGCTGCCTGCCTGATCACCTACAAGCGGAGTTGAGGAGAGGTGGTCAGCGGTTGGGTTTCCAGCGACGAAACGGATATGGACGCAGTGCTTCCCAGCGGCATTCACAGGGCTTTCTTTGGAAGACAGCAAGTGCAGCGGCCTTGTAAGTGGCACTCTGGCTTGGAACACGACGCGCCAGCGAGATTCCTGATGAAGTGCCAGTCGCTGAATCATGGAACAGACAGACAGACATCACAAAGGGGGAATGCTCAGGTGCCGTGCTGCTTGCCTTCTCCCCCCCTCCCCCAACTCACCAGCCGCACTTGTGGTATCCATGTTGGTACAGACAGACATCGGTCGTGCTCCTTGCACACGCAGTCCACACCGTCACGGCTGTACCCACACCAGTCGTCGTTGTTCGCGAGACCCACACATCATCTACACACACACACACACGCGCACACACATCCATCCATCATTCCTGCCATGTGTTGTGTGTTGCCGTGACGTCACCTTGGGGATCGCGTAGTGTGGCCGCATGTCAGTGCCTGGCACTTGTGCAGCCCGCCCCAAATCCTCCTCACAGGGGTCAGCTGACGTCTTGCCTCCGCACAGGTCGCACTGCAGGGAATCGACCCAGGAGAACAAGTCTCTCTTCAAGCACTCCAGGAGGTCCTTGGTCAATGCCAGAGACTCGATAGCTCTGAATGGGTGGGCGAGAAGGGGAGATTGGGATATGTGTGCACGATAGAAGGGAATCTGGGTCTCACCTTGTGCGAATTCTTGTGCACGTTCCCTCATTCGAGCCAGAGGAACAGCACCCAATGCCGACCTACTGGAGGCGGGCATCACAGCCACCAAACACATCCGCATCGACATCAACAGTCGTGCACGTATCATCTGGCTGCCTGACATACCGTTTGTTGGTTGTCCTTGTTGAGGTATTTGTTGGCGAAGGACTGCAGGTCGCCCTGCCCGCGACGGTGCAGCTGCTCGGCGGCTTCGGACACCATCAGAGAGTGCTCTTGGCCGTATCCCACTCTGGCCATGCCGCACAGACACAGAGATTCATGCAGTGATGGGGAGCCACAGATCCGCCCCACCCCACCGACCCACTCACCTTCGACCATCCGACGCGCGACAAGCGCCTGCATGGCGGGAGAGGCCTCCGCCGTCTCCTTGCAGCTCCTCTTGCCAAACAGACACGTCCCAGCGGCAGCACACCCACACTGAAACGAAGGGGCAAATGGGTCTGGCTGTGGCGAGCAGCTGCGAGAATGTGGTGCCGCACGCCCAGCAGTGAAGAGGGGAAGTGGGCGAGGGTGGGGGTCCTGATGGCGATGCTCGAGCGTGACTCCTGCCCCAGGGAGGGGTCGAGCGGCTCCGTCGGCGCCACGCACCCCTCCAGCGGGACGACCGCATTCTCATCACTCGTCTGGGCGCCAAGGCCAAGCTCGAGCAGCGATGACCTGCACACACAGTCACACTAGACAAAGGAACCACTCCGTGAATGATGATATGATGTGTCAGTGTGTCAACGGATTGACTGCCTCTCTGTGTGTGTCGCCGTTACGTTGGTTGAATGCGGGCCGGTCACTGGAGAGCGGTGCGCCCGATGGGATGCCGCAGTGAGGGAAGAGGTTTGTCCAGTCCACTCGACAGACACTACCGGCAGACACACGTGGGCTGCAGAAACAGACAGACATTCTCTCTGTCGTTTCTACTCTGACAGATCAGGCAGGCAGGCAGGCATCCCGATGGTTCGCTGGTTGGCGTTGTCTTATTTCTTCTTTCTTTCTTTCTTTCTTTCGTTGTCTACCGACGTACGTCATAGCCTGAAGGCCTTCTCACTCTTCCTCCTTCCCTTTTGGTTTGCGAGCGCCCTCGACACACGGCAGCAGGGGGGAATTTGATAGACTCGCGGAGCGGAGACACACGGCTCTAATTTTCTACACTAGGATACAATGTGAGAAAAAGGCCGGTGAGGACCTTTCCTGTAGTTAGCTGAATAGAGGATCTGCTGGGCGGTAAGTCCCAGAGTAAGAGTGCCTTTTACTTTAATAAGACCAATGGACTGGCCAGTCAGTCAAAGTTGTTTCTGTCCATGTATGGCATCATGAAGGGTGGTCAACACAGGTCTCACTTCGGTGATGGCTGATAAGATCGTGTCTCCTCAGAACGCTTCCCTTGTCTTTCCTTGTCTTCACCTCTCTCTCTCCGTTACACAGCAATCTACCCTAGCTCACAAGCTCGCACTGGTTCGTCTTGCCAAGCTGGCAATCCTGACACCCCCTCTCAAGACGAACCATCACGGCATGTGCTCAAGAAAAGAAAATCACGAAGAAAGCACAAAGGCATCCAGAAGATGACCATTGGGTAGCGAACGCACACACACAGTGGACAAGTGCACAGATCAGCATAAGCATGAGCACGAATGGTGTGGTGTGTGCACAGATGGAACAGTTACAGCATATCACAACACATCCACGATGCCTTCCGTAGACGAACAACATGGCCGGGCTTCTCATATCCAGGTGGGCACCGCATAAAGACAGGCTTGTCCAGCGGGGCGTTAAGAAATGCTGTGTTGATGTCCATCTGATGTATCTCCAGGTTGAGTTGATTCGCCAGGGCAAACGCTGATCGAACAATGTGGTAGGAGGGCGTAGGGGAAAAGACGTCATCCACTTGGTTGCCGTCTTGTTCGAATCCTCTTGGGTTTCGAGAGCCGCGGTGTCGCAGAAGCTCGCATGACTTGTTTCTCCAAACTCGTGCCCCGCGTCACTCACGGCCTTCGTTCAGGCTCCTGATGAGCTCAGAGGGCCACCGAAATCGCCGGAAAGGGCTCATTTGCCAATTGGATCGAGTGAGGATCGAATTGCGGGTTTTCTCGAACCTGGCAAATTCGTTTTGCGATTTTTTTGCATGAGCCGCTCCCCACTGAGGCCACACGCACCGGCAGTCAAAGAAAGAAGCGGAACAAACGCCCAGAAGCTTCATTTCAGGAAATGCGAGCTCGAACCACAAGCTCGCAAAGGAGAAAGGAGAGGAGAAAGGGCTGGAAGAACGGCCTCGAGATAGATTCGGGTTGTTCGCTTATTCAGGAATCAGCAGCAAAAAGGAAGGAGGAAGAGTGAGAAGGCCTTGAGGCTGTGGTGTGCGTCAGTAGGCAACGAAGGGAACAAAGAAAGGGAAAAGGAAGGAAGACAACGTCAAGCGAATGGAAATGAATCATCGGGATGGCTTTCTGCCTGATCTGTCAGGTGAAAGATAGTGAAACGGCAGATGCCTGTCCACCTCTCAGCTCCTGTGGCGTGGCTGGTGACGAGCAGCCGGCGGCTGTGCTGCAAGCGCATCGCACGGTGAGAGGGTGGCGCTACATCGCTGATGGACTGAGTCACTCTTACGCTGTGTTGACCGCCTCTCAGAATTTATGCTTCTGCTCTGTTCTCTGCGTGCAGGCCTTGAGCGCCATGCCGCGCCCTGTTACCTTCCTCGTCCATGCGCAGCGGTGAGTGAGACGGTTGGCCCATCACACACTTTGATCAAGGGAGGCAGGAAGAAAGCGCCGTTGTGTGATTCTTCGCAGCGTTTCGCATGCACCACGAGTCGTCTACCGAGGGATGAATCGATGCGCACCATGTGCATGAGGCCGTCTGGGCGGCTGGTGCTGGTGCAGTGTAGGTATTGTATGCTGCGTTCCATTTGGGTTGACTCTCACAGGCACCGTGGGTGCGTTGGAAGCCCTTCAGGAAGACCATTCGATAAGCGTCACGTCAGGGCGTCTTGAAAGGGTTTCCCTGCACCTTCGTTGGGTCCCAAAGGAGTGGCGTGACAGCTGCCGGTCTCTATGTGTAATTGCTGATGCGCTTGGGTATTGGTGTGTGGATATATGTGATGTATACATGCTGGCCGCTCGCGGCTTGCCTCGAGGACGCGCACAGGCATCCATCCATCCACCCATCAGTGTAGGTGTGGGTGCGTGGATGGATGATATGCACCCAGATGTGCATCTGGGTGGGTGGGGGGTGGAGGTGTCGGGTGGGTCCATTGTTGTGTGATTCTGTGTTTGCGTCGTGTGTGTAGATGTGCTTGTGTGCGTGTGAGTGCAATTGTGCGATTGTGTATTGGACGTCCAGATGTTCGGACTCATTGCGCATCCCTCTGTGCAGATATGTAGATGACCATGAGAGGTATGCGTCGGCCGCTGCAGCTGCTATTTTCCAGCAGTGGTTCGGCATACCGATGATAGAGGCGGAGCAGTGAGGAAGGAGGGAAGCGAAAGATGGTCGAGTGAATGAGTGGATGAGTGAATGAGTGAAATTGGGAGCGGGGGAGGCAGCTGGACGGAGAGGTGGTGTTTAACGCGTCTGTGTCTGGGTGATTTTGCCCCGCCTTCATTTATTCATTGAATGGATCAGACACTTCTTTGCAGTGCAATAGTGAGCATCGAGCTTGTCCATCATTCAGCCGTCAGTCAATCCATCGCTAATCACGGAAATACTACAGACAGACAGCCGAGCCGAAAACCCACACGCACATCATCACCACAGCAGCCAACCAGACTATGCACAAAGGCACCCACCCAGGTATCAGGCAAAGGTGGGCAGGCAGAAACATAGAGCTATGCGTATTTCTGTCTGTCAGTCAGTCTGTCTGTCCGTCGATCATGGAAGGGATTGTCCGTCGGCTTATGATGCCACGCTGGCGCGCTTCCTATGAGCCGACGAATCAATCTGCCCGCCCCTTTCGATGATTGCTGTGCGTCTATCCTCTCTTATCTACAGCCAGCAGCAGCAGCAGGCTGTAGATAAGAGAGGATAGACGCACAGCAATCATCGAAAGGGGCGGTCTGTCTGTATCTGTCTGTATCTATCTGTCACTGAGTCCATCCACCCATCCATCCAGACACCACACATTCGGCCGGGCACCACATCGGATTCCACTTTAGTCAGTCACACACCATAGTGACCGAACGGCAGGCAGGCAGGCAGGCTCAGGCAGGCAGCGCACGACCCCCTTCTCCCATCTGTCTGTCTGTCTGTGAACCTACCGCTCATCCATCCATGTCATCATCCGCCCACCAACACAACATCGATGATACACCCCGCCCCGTCAATACATATCGTATGCACACGCACTAGCACGCCGAGGGCTGGCGGCGGGCCAATACCTGCACACAGACAGACAGGCGCAGGCACAGAAGAGAAGACACTTATTGATTGATCGATGTGGAGTCGGCCGCGTGTGTTTTCGCTCCTCTGCCACTTACTTGACCATCATGCTATCTTCAACCTGTACAACTCGGCAACAATCTGCACACGAGGCCACATGTACCACACACCACACCCGTCGATGCATCCACACCCCACACCTCTCGTTTGCCCGCTTCTTGGTGTTTCGTTGGGCTGTTTTGTGTTGAGTTTAGCCACTGTGCCCCCACTGCGGCACGCCGTGACCGTCTACACACACACGGACAGATGCACACGTCCAGCGACCCCATGTGCGTGTCACCCACCACACCCATCTCATAACGAGTTGGTCTGCTTACACTGTGGGTACATGTTGGCCGGTAGGTTCTGGCTGCTCGGCGTATGCACCATCTGCTGACACGCACCACAAACGACAGAGAGACGTTCATGTGAGTGTCGGCTCAATGGCGTCGCTCACAGGAGGCCGGACCATCGCTCCGTGGCGCTGCACCAAACACGACAGACAGCCAACACGCACGCACGATGCCATCATGTGATGCGATTGATGTGGGACCCTTGCCACCACTGCCCTACCATTGGCGGCATCACGGTCGGGTACGGCCCGCCCCCATACGGCTGCATACACCACACACAACATGGCGAGAGAGTGACATCCACAGGCACACGTTCGTTTTGGGCCCACCAGCGACCCACACTCCTGAAAGGTGCCACCAGGCAGCCACCCATCCATAGAAATATATCACCAAGTGCATTGTGTTGCGTGTGAGCGTGTTGCATTCTCACGGGCTGTAGACCGGACGGTGGCAGCCCGCGGCGGTGGGGAGCCTGCCCAGAAAGAGAGTGGCAAAGAGGTATTCAGTGGCCTCCCTGCACTTGTGCCAGCGCCCACCATGTTGATGGGACTCGCAAACGGCAGCACCTGAGGCGGCGATGTCTATGACCACACACAGACACAGAACGAAGACACAGACACGCCGTTGCACAAGTGTTTTGGCGTCTTGGACTTCCCTCTGTACCTGAGTCCCCTCAGCTATCGCCGGCTGACGCGCGCAGATTAGGGGGGAAACAGCACTGAACACGGTGAGGATGTAATGTGAGTTCTGTTGGTGCTCTTGTTACCTGTGAGTACTCAACCTGCACACACATGGCCAGGAAGAAACATAGGCAGGCGGCTCAACGACGGTTGTGGTCTCTCGTCGCTTACCGTCGGTAAGTACTCCATGTTCGACATCTTTGTGAACTTCTGAGGGGCACAAGGACAGAGAAAGCCGACCTGTGCGTCTGCTCCGTCAGCCTCAGTGAATGGAATCGCTCACCTGTGCGTAGAGTGTGATGTTGGCCTTGTTTGTGATCCGCATGTCCTGGTGGATAGTCTCCACAGCTGTCTGAATCATCGTGGCGTGCTCCCGCCCCTTGGCCGCCTTGATGTAGATGAGCAACTTGGTGGGGTCATCCACGGCGCTCTCTGGTGGCAAGACCTGGACAAGGAACCCGTTGGCCGGACTGATAGCCTACAGCCAGCAGCCACATCATGCCGTGTACCAATCCCGGCATCTCTCCTCTCCTTCCACTCACGGTAGTGATGGCCTGGCAGGCCTGGATGCGGTTGTGGAGCTCCTCAGACCTCACCACGACTACGTACAGCTTGTATGGAAAAAGATCGTCGGCATCACTCAGGCAACTCAGGCGGAACATTGCTACTCCTGCGATTCCGGCGAGAGAGCGCGGTTTCACGGAATGTCCTAAGCGGCCTGACGGCCAAGTCCCATGTCTTTCACGCACAATCAAACGACGACACGCAACAGGAATCACCCACGCTCACTATCTGTATCTCCCTCTGTCTGTATCTCCCTCTGTCTGCCTGTGTTTGCCCAGTTTCGCCCGGCTACTAAGCTACAGTCAGTCACTCAAAAAGGAAAGAAAGCATCACCATGCACCGAGCAGGCAGAGAGGGAGGGGGAGGGCTGTGTGGAACACGCATGAAGGAGCTACGACCCATCCCTGCACACACACAGGCAGGACAGGGAGGCAGGCAGGCAACAAAGGACGAGGTGTCGATTGATACGATCGAGGCTTTGCCCTTGTCGAGTACTGCTTACAGGATATAGAAGGCTATCGTGGCGACCTGTACAAGTCAGCATCATCCCGCTGCACAGACAGACAGACAGACAGACCGGCAGCCACTCCATTTCTGGAACAGCATTTTTGAGTGGGGTCAGTATGAAGGGAACCACCTCGGGCGTTGTTTGCGTGTTGCCCATCCGTCTGCAGTCGTATCTATGTGGACGAATCTCAATAGGGCACGGTCACCTGCATTTGCATGATACACATATGAGCGACAGACAAGAGAAGAGACAGGTCACATATCGACACCTATCGTGTCTTCTTACCATGTCTTTTTGAAGGCTACAGGCAAAACGGCGATGTTCTGAATGGAGAGCGATGCATACAGACGGCGTCACCCAGCTTCTTACCCCTCCTGTATGCATCGCTCCCCTCCACCATTCCTCAAACTCGGTACCCAAGCCAATCCAACGTGGCTGCCTCCCGCCTCCCTTGACCATCGGGGCAACAATATGGGTACAGCGTCCACGAGATACAAAATGAAAGAATCAGCAACCAGTATTACTTCACAAGGGACACGTGTGTCTCAGCGTCTCGGTATGTGTGCGGCCTTACGTGGTGGTAATAGGGGCTGAAAAGACGCACGACGGCATTCTGCTAAAGTCACCACTCTACCTCCGAAGAGACTGGCCGAGGGCGATGTCCAGGATGCGATGGAAGCGGCGAGAAAGAGACCGTCGGCCGGCCGGATGAGTGGGTGAGTAGGTGATGCCTGCCAAATGTGAGCTCGATCTTCCAACCTTTTCAAGCCCTCACTGACGAGGGCCGCTGAGCATCATAAGATGCACGCACATACGCAACCGTGAGGTGTGCGGCACATGCATCTCCGTCTGTCGTCCTTCTCTGCTTTCATGCTTACCTGTAGGCGTTGTCCTCTCCGTCTGTATAGGAAAAGACGTTTTGCGACGTGACAAAGAGACCACGAGATATAAAATGTAGCCAGCGATGCCTGACGGACGCACGGAGAGGGAAATGAGACACGGAGACACGAGACACGGCTGTCGGTGGTCGGTGACACTCCCCCTCTGTGCCCGCTCCATCACCCTGCCCGCTTCTCACATGCCACCCACCACACGCTCCTCCCGCAGCACAGCTCACGCTTCTTGCACTTCCACGTCAGCCCGCAGCAGTCGCTGTTCCGGCAAGATCTGATAGCAGTGCGTGTACGGTGGGCGGCTACAAAGACAAGCAGACACGATAAGTGACTGCCTATTGTGTGCTTGTCCCATTCGTGTGTGGTTTCGTTGCATACCCCGCCTCTGGAGCACTTCGTGTCCAGGATCTTGACCATGTACCGCCCGCATCGCCACAGACTGCCCTGTCCACCGAAGGTGTGGGTCTCGCCCGTGGGCACCTGGAGCCCCGTCTGGTGGTACAGGGCCGCCTGCAGACAAGGACAGAAATCGATCTTGGCCGTAGCGCTCTCCACTGATTGGCGTTGGCCGATGACTCACCTTGGCCGTCTCGAGGGCTTTGGCCGCCTCAAGCCTCTGCAAAAGACGACAGGACACGCAGAGCAGATGCCATGCAGCGACCCACTCCGCCGGGCCCGGCCCTTTTCCAGCACCCTGGCAGCCGTCTCCCTGTCTGTCTGTCTGTCTGTCTGCCTGTCTGTCTGTCTGTCTGGCCATTGCGTAGCTGCCCGCTCACCTCCCCTGCAGTGCGCTTCTTACGCCTCCATCGCCACCTCTACATCCTCCGGCTTCATCCACAACAAACACTGCCGCCTGCGCTGCTCCTCCTCCGCCGCCATGACTGCTGTTGCTGCTTCCCCGTCCCCGAGCAAAGGAAATTGCCTGCTGTCGATGGCGATGGGCGCGAAAACTCGCTGAAACGCCGTCATGGTGGCGTCTGTTCTCGTGCGATCTTCTTGGCCGTCTCCCTGGAATGGGCCAAGAAGCACACACATGGCCAGGGGCCACAACAGCACAAGGCGGCTCAACGACGGTTGTGGTCTCTGTGGCTTACCGTCGGTAAGAGCTCCATGTTCGACATCTTTGTGAACTTCTGAGGGGCACAAGGACAGAGAAGGCGACCTGTGCGTCTGCTCCGTCTGTCTCAGTGAATGGAATTGCTCACCTGTCAGTATAGTTTGATGCTCGCCTTGTTCGTGATCCGCATCTCTTGGTGCATGTTGTCGACAACGTTCTGAATCAGAGTGGCGGCTTCCCGCCCCTTGGGCGCCTTGATGTTGATGAGCCACTTGGTGGGGTAACGACGATCTCGGGCGGAAACACGGTGCCTTGGAACCCGCTCGCCGGCCTGTGTGCCTACAGCCAGCAGCAGACACATGCATTGCACATCATGCCGTGTACCCATCCCGACATCTCTTCTCTCCTTCTGCTTACGGCAGTGATGGCCTGGTAAGCCTGCATGCGATTGTGGTCCTCCTCACACCTCACCACAACCAGGTACAGCTTGTATAAAGGCGGCCGTCGGTGTCCGCTCCACTCAAGCAACTCAGGCGGAACATTGCTCCACGCAGGCGGCGTCGAAACCGTCGGCCCCACGCAGGTCACCGCTGGTATCTATGAAAGAAAGGCGGTGCATGCCGGCCGTCTACGTGTGGCCATCAATGAGTTGAGCCGTGCCAGACGTCTTCTCACCGCGAAGGGCACCGTCATCTGCATCTGCAGAACAATCACAGACGACAGACAACATAACACTTGTCGCTGCCTCCCCTTCTCGTGGTCCGTCTCTTCTTACCGGAGAGAACCTCGACAAACTGATGGACCGTAACTCCTGAAAGACAGCAAGGCCAACCAACCAGCCAATCTGTTTAGAATGAGTCTGTGTGTGTCTGTGTGGTGGCCTACGCACGTGGTGGAACATCTCGGCCTCCAGCGGTGCCCGGAAGGGCTGGCCGACCAGATGGAGGTTATCCACGATGTGTTTTATCTTTTTGACGTACTTGTCGCCCACGGGCGTCACGCCCACCATGAGCACCTGCGGGTCGTTAGGGGAGGGGAACGCCGGCCCGACCCCTGCCAACACGCCCCTCGCGGGGTCGCACTCCTGCTCACCCACACACAGACAAACAGACAGACGGACAGACAGCATCATGCGGATGATGCTGTTCCATGTCTGATCTGCTGCTCTCCCTTCCCTCCCACCGCCACGATCTTTTTGAATGCGAGGTCGCGCGTCATGAAGTCATGGGAGCGCAGCACGATGGTCATATAAGAAATCTCAACGACCTCAGGCTCCCGCTTGAGTCTGATGTCCGACTCCGAAGCGGACGAGAAGTTGCCCATGGCGTGCCGTATCTGATCAGATGGAATATGCGGTGCGGTGCGGAACGAGAGGACAACGGCGACGAGGCGACGAGAGATGGCGATTTCCTGATGCGACCCAATGTCAGCAGAATCTGCAGATGGCACATGCAAACGAGAATGACATGTGCCACACCTTCCATTATTTCTCTAGACAAGCCGCACCTACCTGCGAACCTCAGCCCGAAGAGGCATCACAGCATCGCAGTCGTCTCTCATTCGCTGTCGGCAGAGGTTGCGCACTTCGTCCGTCGAAAAGGGAGAAGAATAAGCCCGCAGATGTAAAATGTAGACAGCGATTTCACCTGTCGTCTCCAGCATCGCCTGCAGACACACAAAGAGAAAGCAGACCACATGTGTGCACAGGAAGGTCCCTTCTGTTCCATCCCTTTCTCTCCGTCACTCACCTCTCCACCACCCATCACCCCCCCC